CCACCCATATAACGTTCCTAAATTAATTTAATTCTATATGTTACTGTCCATAAATCAAACATTAACCAATATTTATTATGAATAATTACTCTGATCGCCTGCAATTCCTTGTCGTCTAATTTTTCTTCTTCGGTGGCTTCAGATTTATCGGTTGAACGCTTTTCTAAATTATCACGATCCCTCCCCCTCGACCTATCATAACGATCAAATCTCTCGCGCTCATATCGATCATAATAATCTCTACGGTCACGACCATAGCCTGTAAAGGAGACCAGTTTTACTAAATAGTACTGCAAGGGGCTGAATGAGATCAAAATAATTACCATTTTGTCGAGCTTCTTCCATTGCTCTTCTTTGGAATTCTTCCTGTTGACGTCTCTCTTCATCTTGTTTTAGCCTCTTCTCTTCAATCTCCTTTTGACGCTTCTCCAATGCCAACTTTTCTCTTTCCTCTTTTGTCATGAATTTTGGCTGCGAATGAATTTTAAAACGTAAATTCAAGAAGACGAACAAATGTATAAAATAAAATAAAAAAGGCATCTAAAGAATACAAACCCTATCGTTGGCTTGTTTTTCTGTTTCGTGTTTTTGCAACAATTCTTCAAGAGAAATCGGTACTTTTGGTTTTGTTGTTTTGTTTGTCTCTTTTCCCGCTTCTTTCTCAAAAATAGGCTTATCAGAATGTTGCATTTTTTGTTGTGTTTCATTTTCGGTTTCTCGATTCTCGCCCATAGTTTTATCGTAACTTGGAGAGCTCCTGCGCTGTTCATTGTTATAATCAATACTTCTGCGACCGTCTCTGTCATGATCCCGTCCATGTCGGTGACGATGGTAAGCTTCTTCGCGTCGGCGATCGCCAGAACGGTGGCTTCGGGAATTCGAGGGAGCAACAGGATACGATCTAACAAAAACTAGCAGTTACCAGGAAGGTTCAAATTCACAAGTAATTTTAAATATACCTTCGGGATCTTTCTGTCACCATAATTTTGATATTTCGTGAAATTAACAAAAGTACAAAAGACAGTTACTTAAGATCGGTATATAAATCTACGCTAGCAAGTTTTGATGTAACCCACGTGAACTGCCAACTGGGCAATTAAAATATACATATTGAAAAAAAATTTTTTTTTTTTTAAAGAAAATAAAACAGTTATTATTATACCTTTTTTTATTATAATTCATACTCATTTAAAGGCAAGATTACAATCACTAGGTTAATATACATCTTTCTTTGTTAAGAAAAGTTTAATAATGCAAGACTCAAAAAATAGTTTTTTATTTAGATTTTTGATTATTATACAAGTATATAAGTTAATAAGCTTAATGCTAACTTATTTATATAAACTATCTGAACAGTAAGAAAAATAAATATTAAACTATTACATATCTAAAATAGTGCCAAGCAGTTATAAATATTTACTCAGGAATGTTGATGAGATTATTAAAATAATTTTTTATTAAATTTTTTTTTTTGAGTTATTCCAATAGATAAACATCATCTCTTTATTTAATTTGTATATATCAAGGTATATATTGTGAACAAAGAATATCTCTTGGATGTATTGTATACAACAAGTTAAATGCTAGCTTGCCGACTTGTATTATATTTAACTAATATTGTAAAAAATTTCAAAAGCAATATTAAAATATCAAATATGGAAATAGTGGTTATGCCTATCTATTGGAAAAGTTATTTGGTGAAATTTTTTTTTTTGAATAAAAGAAATTGAGAAGAAAAAATTAAAAGTAACTAAAATTAAAACTTCATCAAATAAACTATAAGATCTATAAGTAGAAAATCAATTATTTTCCTGAGAGAACCCTCAGACAGGCTCATTATCCTATCTCTCCAGCTCTTCAATTACCATAAATTGTAGAGTACATATGATGTTATTTGTTATTGAAGTTGTTATTGTGGCACAAAACTGGTTTGAGCTGGCATGGTTTTTGTTTTGATTTTTACATAAAATCTGATTGAATGATTGGAGGGCACTGATTATCTGAAGGGGTAAACTGATTTCAGTTTTTTGTTGAAAAAATTTTTGAATTTTTGAGATGGTGCAGCAAATATTATTATGAAAATATTGTGTGTAAGGATTGACTTGAAACAAACAATAGATTCACTAACTCTGTTTAAGTGTGTATTTTGAAAAGTATATAATTTAGCAAATATGATGATAATAATGTAAATGATTTTTATGATATAATAAGAATAAGGAAAGATACAAAAGAACTGAAGAAAAGAAAATCACCATAGGCCTTTTCTTATGCAACTGAAGAATAAGCAAGACTTTCAAACTTGAATAGACTTCAACTAGAAGTTCCATTTTATTGCATCAGTTGTTTTGAAGATTTTTAAGTTCTTGAACTGAGGCTCACTTGCAATTAGAATTCCTAACGATACCACTTCAATATCACTTCGATACTAGATTAATACTTAAATTTATTATAAAAACATATAAATAGGTTACAACTATATATGTTTCCTTATTACTATAAAAGAAAATTTGATCGATAATATGATTTCCAATTAAATACGATTTCCAATTATTTACTAATTGTTACTTAGTAATACAAACATAATATGGTTTTTGAAAAATGTTTGAATTAAATACAAACACATATATAGTTACAACTATACATGTGGTATAAATTATTTTGCTGTTGACTCAATTCCCAAAATTCTCAAAAATAATTACATCATAACTCAATTATTTATATGTTTTAATAGTGACTCAATTAATTGCGTCAAATAATTGCGTCAATTGTGTCAAGG